AGCAAATGTGAATTACTCATTTGTATCAGGCGAAGTGGAACAAGAACAAACCAGATCCAACAGTGGATAGCGGCTGAAAACACCAGATATCATTAACATGAGTTGAGTGACAGTAGTACTTTAAAGTACTTCACTAATCAGATTGTAATGGCAGAAGTTATGCTTAGTACTTCTTAATGGAAAATAGAGTAATTTTTAGTACTGTTCATGGTATTGAAAATTATTTGTTACATAAAAGTATACTAATAGTCACTTTAAAACGTTCACTTATAAGTATTTTTTTGACTTATGGGGAAAATATTAAAAGTACTTATTAGTTACATTTCTGGGCTAAAATTTTTACATGAGTGGTTTTTCCAACTGCAAAATATATCCTTACAGTCTTTCATTTGCTCTGTTAGCTTCTAAGGAATTTGGCGTTTATTCGGATTTATTCGAGACAATGTATCTTTCTTTTTGGCGCAGTATCACAGATCAATAAAAATCGTTCCTGACTCTATTTTTTAGCCGAGCTTATTGAACATCTTAACAACAGTTTTTCAAACCACGTTGAATATTAAAAGAGCAAAGTGTCCAGCGTTTTTTAGTTTTGAACAACAGTTTAGTCTAATGCTTCAAAAACGCAACAGTCTCAGGTTTGAACACTTTTTTCTGTTGTTTAATGTGTACATGACGCTAAGCGTTATTAAGCCAGCAAATTTAATTCTCTACAAACTTATCTCTAAGCTCAAAACCCTGAATCATCGTCTTCAAGGCAGCAAATCGAAAATTCAGATGTTTCCAAGATGAAAAATTAATAATTTCGAAAATATTTTCGAAGTTAGACATCGAAGCCAAAGCTTCGGTGATCGATTGTGATGGTAACTTTTTGTAACAATGACCGAAGCTTTGGCTTCGATGAGACCTAGCGTTATAGTTTTCTTTCTGTTATCACTCACCGAATCGTTTCTTATGATAAAGAACGTCTTCAATTTTCTTTTGTAGTTGATTATTCAATAAATTGTAAGTTGGAATTAATTCACCATACTGAATGATTCGCCATCGTCGACTATCACGTATACTCGATTTCCATTCACTAATATTATCGATTAATAGTGTATCGCCGCCTGTAGCTTCAAATTTCGCATCAGATTGATGATCTATCGTTACCGTTCGACGTGCTTCAATTGTAGTTACGGCGCCATCTATACCACCTCCAACTGCTTTAAGTAAACTTTTGAAATTGCCAAAAATTTTATTTTTATGTTCATTTTCATTAACATTCCTTTCTACTTTTCTAATATCAGTTTGATATAAATGCCCACCAAGAGTTACTGTTATCGGAAAAACTTGACCATATAGTTTAAAAATTTTTTGTAATTTCTTATACTTTTCTTGAATGTCAACCAATGTTACAGCGTCGGTTGCCTCCGTTGGTTCTAGAAAAACTTCTTTAATAGCTTCTTGAAAGTCGTCAGTTGCTCGCACCGGCTGTCTGACTAATGGCAATGACTCATTAAATAGATGTACAACTACACGTGGAAAATTCCAGATACATGTTGTATAGAGAGTCTTCTTTTGTGTATCTTCAGTTTTTCGATCATCTTTCTCGCTTCCAGTAGAAAATGAAAAAAATGGACATTTGAAATTGGCATCGATTTTTACCAACTTATTACGAATAAATGTATTGTGAATTTCATTACTAGCCAAATGTGCTTCGATAAATGATGCATCGTTAATGAAATATGTTGGTTTTGTTATATTTTCTTGAAATTGACAAACAGAATGATGACTAGGATGTGGAGAATAACTTGGATGTCGAGGATCAGTTCGACAATCAAATTCTAATCCTTGAAATAAATTACATCTTTGAAATATATCACACCATTTTTGTAAATCAAAATTATATGGATCACATATCTGATCATGTGAAGAATGAGCTGGCGTGGTTTCTGGAATTTTAGCTGCACGATATTCAAGTTTGTCAGTAGTTAATAACTGAATTGTACGTGTCTCGAACGATTGAGTAGGTGGAATATCAAGTAGAGGTTTTGCGCTATCTTTGTTTGAATTAGCTAAAAGAAAGCAAAAAAAATTGAATATAGGCCAGAGCTGGGCAAAGTACTCGAAGTACTCGTACTCGAGTACCATTTTGCTCGTACTCGTACTCGTACTCGTACTCGGGGGGTCGGTACTCATACTCGTACTCGTACTCGAAGGATCGGTACTCGTACTCGTACTCGAATGGATTTTTTTTCGTACTCGAGGATAGGATCTTGGAGTTCTTAATTATGTCTCATAAAAAATTACTATGTGACTATGTGCTGCATGGATGACATGAACTCTTGACGTCTTTTTGTTTCGACTGTTTAAATATAGATTTTCGCCCTACCAACTATGGCAAAAAACTCTAAATCACGCTCTATACAATGGTACTCGTGCTAGTACTCGAGTACGGTTTTGTTGTACTCGTACTCGAGTACGATTCTGTCGTACTCATACTCGTACTCGTACTCGGAGGGTCGGTACTCATACTCGTACTCGTACTCGGGGGGTCGGTACTCGTACTCGTACTCGTACTCGAGAAAGTCCATACTCGCCCAGCTCTGATATAGGCAACTTCAAGATTAGAGGCGGGATACTTTTACGATTAAGTGAGATAAGAGTGTCTGTAAAAGTGACGTTTACTGAACAGCAGCTTTGTATGGGCTGTTTTTCGGAACAGCTGCGTGTGCTTGGAAGAGGAATTTTCACTCTCCTGTTTCTAAGAGAAAATACGAAAGTTGAGAGATTTTCATGATAAAGAAATGAACTTTCCGAAAATATTTTTAATTGATTTATTTGTGATCAACGCCATCTTGAAGCCATTGATCAAACGACTTTAATCCTTAGTGTACACTTAGCTATAACTCGCGTTTTTTCTCGCTTTATAGACTTATAGTGTCAATGCTTAATAAGATGTCTACTGCCACTATTATCGGCGCTGTATTTAGAAATATTTTCCAGTAAAAAAACGTATTTATCAAATTCATGTACATTTTTCCTCTTACTAAATTTGAAAAACGCTTGTATAATTTGAAAATCGAGGGAATCTAATTACTTTTCTGACCTTTTCAATAACGTCGAGCAAGCCAGCTAATTAAAAAGTGATTTCAAGCTATAGAAATGATCTAAATTCCTTTCCAAATCTAAATAATATCAATTTACACCTATCTTCGTTCGCTTACCAAGTAATTTTTGCGTTTGTAATTTAACAATATTATTTGATAACATTACGTTTTCAAGAGGTGTTTTGGATTCATCCAGACGACCAACCGGATAACCCTCTTTATCTAAGAACAAATGTATATCCTTCAATGGTTGCCGCTTTCCAATCAATTGCCGTACTTCTGCCACAAATTGTTTTGGGGAAAGACAAAGACCTAATAATTTGCCATCATCAAGTTCAAATTTAACCGACTTGTAGTTTTCCGACGGTATATCGACCGAAGTTATATTTTGCATTTCTACACTGCAATGGGATGGTGTTTCTTGCAATAACTACTTGATTAAAAATCTTTCTAGAAAACAAATAGACATTTTTTCATCAATATCGATTGAAAGAGATAAAGTAATCGACAGAAGTGAATGAAGCAGTATTTGACGGAAAATCCGATCTGTTAGTTGCAGAAATCGTCTGAGTAATGAAGATCTCCTTTTCAATGGTTTCTAAAGACTATAATCGCCCTTCGTCATTTTCTTACAGACAAGAGAGCTGAAGAAGTCATTGGTAACTCGATGGTTACATGAGCATAACTGAGAAATTAAACTTTTTCAATGTTAGGTCGGACTATATCACTTAAAGGCAGTAATGTACTCTATGGAAGCGCGTATAAACAGCACCGTTTTAGATGTAAAACTGAAATAGTATAACAACCTCGAAAACTTAGTTCCACAGAACTCCAATTTCGATCCCTAAAACCTATTTTCTCCTGTCTAAAATTCAAATAAATAGAACTTTATCTAACTACTTGCCTGATTGAAAAAAACTTAAATCACTCGCAGTGCACGTACGATGTTTTCAAACTGATACAATGAATTTTGCGACTTAGATTCTAAAATATGAAGTTTTGGGTAGGTGTGGGTGTCTCTTCTTTTATGACACTCATATACACCCACACCCATCTAGCTTTAGATATATAAGTTTTATACAAAAAATGTTTAGATCAATCAGTAGAAAAAATAATACCCGTTTTTCGTTATGCGGTGAGGTTATAAATAGAGTACTTTTTCTTAAGCTCGCTATAGAAAAGTATAGCACTTAGGAAATCAACTATTGTGACAAAAGATACATCTATTATCATAGTCTTGATTGGTCTCAATCTAGTTTGTATATATCAGACTGTTTGGATATACGGGATGGATGAACTCATGATCTAAATAGTGGAACTTTCTTTGTCTAGTAGTGATTTTTCTGTTACCAATTATCAAATGCAACTTAAAGTCATATTCACAGAACAAAGTGTGTTTATCTACACTTTACATCATGCTCTACAACATAGCCGTATTGGTTTATTAAGATACCGACTTTGAACTTCTGGTCATTGAGGCAACGTGTTACGTATACAAGTCGAAATGAGAAGGGAGAATCAAAAAGAATGGTTCTTTTCAATAATTTATTTCTCCTTGTATCCTTTTTCTATTCTCTCAGTTATCTCAATGCCAATACTTACGAAAATAAATGAAGTAATATGTTAACTAGATGTTGTAAATAAGTAGTAGATGATGACCACCAGAACGATGCAAAAATCGGTAATCGTATTTTATCTGAAGTAGAAATAAAAAAATTGAATACAAAGCTTAAATATAATTATATTCTAAAGTTTTATATGAAGATCGAATGTTTGTTCATCAAAATTCGATTCTGTTTTCAATTCGGATCATTTCAACTTAGTTTCGTACCCAATATATCTTTGCAAAAATGAATTTTCTTCTAAATCGTAACGGTCAGAAAAAAATATAGAATAATCCTACGTAAGTTTATACACATACTATTGTATAATAATAATAAGTTTTTGTGAAACACGAATTAAAAGGAGCGTTGAAATGTTTAAGGGTAGAAATCCTACTCATCTCCCCTCTCCCCCTCAGACCGTAACAGGCATTATCATTTAAGATTAATTAAGTAGCATTGATTATTTGTTATTAATCAATGAATATGTATTGATTATTAATAACTAATTCATATTATTTAATTTATAATAGCTAGGGTGGATGTAGGTGAGGATGTCTTATTCTTATTCCAACATTTACATTCACACCCACCCACCCTTATTTATTGTCCAATTTCTTCAACAATATCATAATAATCATAGATACTTTCATATTTAAGTGTAGCTCGTTCTTGTTGACGACCAGTTGTATTTTTATCTCTATTTCGAATAGTTAATGTAATAGCTTGATTACTAACATCAATTGAAACATTTTTATATTTTGTTATATCATTTCCATCTTTGGATAACATTACAATAGGTATAATGGACTATTAATAAAGAATTTTTATAACAATTGATTCACTTTAATCATAATTAAGAATATCTTGATATTTTCGTGGTCAACGAAATCTTGGTGGTGCTAGAAACAAAAATACAAATATATATTAAGAATTTATTTTTATTTATAAATTTAAACTTACATCGAACATTAACATTACAACGACACATTCTTGAACCACCTTTATTACGTGCTTTAATACTGTATTCATCAACATCATCTGGTGTGGCATTATTAATAACCAAAATACATTTATCACCATCACGTGTTATAGTATATTTAGCACCTCGAGAAATTTCTTTTGTATCTTTGAACCTAATTATTTATTATAAAGAAATAATTTGATACAAATAATTAAGGAAAAAAAACCATTCAACATCAGGTTTAGGTGTTCCAGTAACTTCACATTCTAATGTAATTGTTTGACCTTCATTACCTTCAGCATCTTTTCATTTTTTAAGAAATTCTTGTTCAGTAGTAGATGCATTTGGATCTTTGATCTAATAAAATAAAAAGAATCTTATTTAGAAATATTGAAAAAATCCATTTCTATATACTTTAATTGGTTTAGTTGCATCAGATGGTGTTCCTTTTCCAGCTTCATTTTCAGTTGTAACACGAAATTCATAAATATGATCTTCGACTAATGATGGTACTGTAAAATGTGTTGATTGACATATTGACTGGTATCCATTTATCAGTATTTCCTTCACGTTTTTCAATCCACTAACCAGTTATAGGACCACCACCATGAGAAGTTGGTTTCTCCCAATTAAGTGTGACAGTATTATTTGTCATTCCAGTGATATTTGGTTGTCCAGGTAAACCAGGTAGTTCTATTTAAAATTAAGAAAAAAAACAAATTTTTAGATAAAATAAAACGAATCATATTTAACATACTGAATGGAAGTTTAGCAGTAGTTGGTGCTGTTGAACGTAATGGTTCACTAGTGCCATTTTCATTAATAGCCATAACACGAAAATCATATTCATGTTCAGCAAGTAATGATGGAACAGTAAATGTTGTTTCTTTACATGCTTGTGTACCTGCTATCCAAGCATCGGCTCCTTTTGATGTATCACGTCGTTCAACAACATAACCAGTTACTTTACTACCACCATCATCTTTTGGTGGTTTCCATGATAGTGTTGCACGATTTTTCGATACATTTGATATTTCAAGTGGACCAGTTGGAGGAAGTGGTGGTGCTATAGTAAAAGAAAAACTTTAATCTGAAGTTTTATGATAGTTTTTAATCATACCAATGATTTTAACTTTCAAAGGAACATTACATGATCCTGAATCATTAGCAACATTAATTGCATATTTACCAGCATCTTCTCGTTCAGTATCTGAATAAGATTAAATATAAAGTTTAGTGAGAGAAAAAAAAAATTTAATAAAATACGAACCAGGTATTGTAACAACAATAAAATCATCAAATTCTTGAATACGTACACGATCATCATTAGCTAATGATTGACCATCTTTATTAACTTGAAATTTAAATGGACCTTTTCCAGTAATAGGAATTTTAACTTTTAATGTATCACCCAATGGAACTCGTTGTTCTTCTGGTTCACGTGTAAGTTTAGGTGGTGCTAGAAAAAAAAAGACAATAGACAAAATTAAATAGTAATGAATTTAAACTCTAATAAAAACATACTTTTAACATGAAAAACAGCTTCACATGTGTCACGTCCAAGTGGATTAACAATTTCACATGAAATCTTTGAATTATTATCACTATCCCAAGCTTCATTGAATATCAATGTCGATTTCGATTCATTTGTTCTTGTAACAATACGATAACGACCAGATGATGATAATTCTAAACCATTACGAAACCATTTAACTTCAGGTGCTGGATTAGCATCAAATTCAATTGTAAATGTTGCTTCACCATTAAGAGGTGCACTTGTATCTGTTAATTTTTTAACAAATGTTGGTGCTCGTCCATCTAAATATATCATATGTAGATATTTTAATTTGAAAACAAAATATTCTATTACTTGGATATTCAGTTATTTTAACTCGACCAGTTGTTGAACTTGGTTCACTTTCACCAGCTTTATTAACTGCTTTAACACGAAATTCAACTTCACCATTTTCGGGTAAATCAGTTATTGTAGCATTATTATCAATTGACATATATGGTGATGCTTTAACCCATTGATCAGTACCAGCTGGTCGTTTTTCAACAATATAGCCAGTTATTTTTGAACCACCATCATTCGTTGGTGTGGCCCATGCTAATTCAACATAGTTTTTACCAACTTTTTTCACTTCTGGTATACCAGGTGATGAAGGTGCAACTAGAAACAAAACGAGCATATTTTTATTTTTAAATAAATTTTTTCACATACCACTATCAGGTTTAAGTGTAACTGGTCGATCAAGTTTAGTATATTCTCCCCAACCAGCAGCATTTTTAGCTTTAACACGAAATTCGTATGGTTTTCCTGTTGAAAGATTATCAACTGTAAAATCATTTCCTTTAATTGGATAATCACTTGCAATTTCCCATATATCACTATCTGGTTTACGTATTTCAACTTGATAAGCAGTTACTTTTGAACCACCATCATTTTTAGGTTTATCCCATTTTAATGTAACTGAATTTTCTGTTTGTTTACCAACTTCAACATTAGCTGGACCTTGTGGTGCATCTAAACATGATCGACAGGAAAAGATATTTTTATCGATTCAATTTTGTTTGAATAAAAACTTACCAAAAGGATTTTTTGCGATAATTGGTTTTTCACATTCCAATGGTACACTTTGTCCGTAAAGATTTTCAGCCGAAACACGAAATTTATATTCTGAACCTTCATTATGTCCAGTAACTTCATAAAATGGTGAACGACAAAAACTTGATACTTTTTGCCATTCGCCTTTTTTCGTATCAAATTTTTCAATGATGTAATTAGTTATTGGTGAACCACCATCAGTCTTGGGTGGTTCCCATGTCAATAAACATGAATCAGGTTTTACATCAGAAATATTTAATGGTCCTTCGGGTGTATCTAAAATTCAAAGAAAATATTAGAATTTAATGTTCGAAAGAAAGAAACTAACCTAATTTATCAACAACAATAACTTTCATTTGAACAGTTTCTTGTCCAAGATGATTTTTCAAAGTACATGAATATAAACCAGTGTCACCAGCTTTTACTTTTGGTACAATAAGTTCAGCAATACCATCTTTAACAGTTACTTGATTATTTCCATCAGGTTTAATTTCATCGCCATTTTTAGCAAATGTAACTTGTAGTGCAGGTGAACCAACAAATGGTACAGTAATTTTAAGATCTTCACCAGCACGAACAATGATTTCTTTTGGACTAAATGCACTGAAACCAACAGCATGTGGAGCAACATCAGGTGGACGAGCTTGAATTGGTCCTTCGGTTTTAGCTAAAAACAGAATATGAATTAAAAATAATAGCAACAAAAAACAAAGTCAAATATTTACCATATTCTCCTGGACCAGCTCTATTAACGGCAGCAACACGAAATTCATATTCTTTGCCATCAACAAGACCAGGAACAGTATATTCAGTACCTGAAACTGTGTATTAGATAGAGTCTGGATGTGGTAATTTAAGATCGTGTTATGAAAAAACAATACATAAAAAATACGATCTGTAAATAAATCTAGTAAAATTCCAAATAGAAAATAAACATATTATTGGGAGATGTTGAAGTCGAAGAACGAAAGAGAAAAATAAATATCACTCATCCATCGTCCTTTGATACAGTAGAATAGAAAAGGAATAGAAATAAATAATACTATGACACATTTCTATTTCTATACTTTCCTTTCCACTTAACTTATTGGAAATAGACTTTATCTACTAATAGTTTCATAAGTTTACTGATCTACTTATTAAACTTATTGATTTTTCGAATTTCTCAACTACTGACCATTTCATTGATTCTATTAACCACTTAAATAGTAGCCAAAAAAAACTGCTAAATAATTCAATTGTTTTATAGAAATACTAGAAATAAGAAAATATCTTTATAGAATAATGAAAATCGACCAAAAAGATATACGTATTCAAATAAAAAATATTTCTTTTTTCAATTATTTTTATATTTGTCTTTTCGATAAAAAAGATTTATTTAAATAAAAGAAAAATTGTTTATTAAACAATTCAAATTTTCAATTTATTGATTCTCTTCAATATTCCGTTCTTCATAAAATAAAACAAATTCGATCTTTTGTTTATTTTTCTAATTCTTTTTCCTTATTTAAAAAAAATAGTTTTTAGAATTTTATTTTCATTAACGCGTTTTTCTCTTAAAAAGTTAATTTTCTTCAGATAATTTTTATTTTCATAGATTTCATTCATATTGAATTATTTTTTTTCCCTTCTTTTCAATGAATAGGAAAATAAAAAAAATAAAATGATTTCGGCAGAAATATTTTTCTTTTCAGAAAGAAATCCAATAAAAAAACAATTTGTTTCTACTTACAAGTTTCTTTCATTAATTTTAGTGTTTTTCTCAATGTAAAAAATATTTTATTTGATTTTTCTATAAAAAGTAAATTTTTTTTAATTCGATTTTCTTTCAAATTCTTTTAATTTGATTTATACAAGAAAAATTCTATTCCAATTATTGTATTCATTTTGATTTTTTAATTTAAAAGTAAAACTAACAAATATTTATTTACTTTTTCTCTGAAAATAAAAAACAAATTTATTTATTTTTGTTGAAGATGTTCCATAAATTAATGTTTTTTATTTATTTTCAAAAATAAAAATCAAAGTTTTATCAAATTAAATTAAAAATACTTTTAATTTTACATTTTTTCATATTTTTGGATTCGATGATTGTTACGATTAACAACATAAAGATTTTCTTCGTTATCAAATGATAAACCTCTAGGAAAATTCAATTGATCTGATTGGCTTCCTTTTCTATTTCCACCAACCACAATTTCACCTTCTGCATCTCCTTCACACCAACGAATTACTCGATGATTCCCACAATCTGCCACATAGATTTGACCCAAATGATCAACAATCACTCCCAGAGGAAAATACAATTGTTCGAGACCACCTCCTTGACCATTTCCGCCAGCAACAATGATTCCTTCTTTTGCACCTTTTTTCCATTTCATTACACGATTGTTCGAATTATCTGATATATAAAGAGAATAATCTTCATCAATAAAGATATAAGTAGGATGATCGAGTTGATTAAGATGATTTCCTTTACCATTTCCACCTGCAACTAATTCTCCATTTTTGTCGCCTTGTTTCCATCGTCTTACTTCATGATTCTTATAATCACAAACATAAATAAATCCATTTTTATCGATTGCCAGACCATAACAATAAATATTTGAAATAATAATTTGTTGATCTGTTTGATTATTATCAAAATATCGAATTACTCGTTGGTTTTCATGATCTGAAATAATAAAAGAATTATTTTTTTTATCAAAAATTATATCTCTTGGCCCATTTAATTGATTATTTTGATTTCCTTGTCCATTTCCACCTGCAATGACTTGACCAGTATTTGAATTCAATTTCCACTTAACAATACGATGATTATTAGAATCAGCAATATAAATGGATTTATCATTATCAATAAAGATACCTTCAGGATTATACAGCTGATTTAATCCCTGTCCTTGTTTATTTCCTCCAACAACAGTAATTGCAAGCTGTTGATATTCCTTCTTTTTTGTTTGAATTTCTTCTAAAATATAAGATTTCCTTTTTATTCAAATCTTTTTCATTATTTTTGAATCATAAAAAGGCGAAAATAAGAAGAAAAACTTATATTTGAGTTTGTTCTTAATAGAATAAAGTTTTCTTTTTATTAAATTTAGTTTTTAATCCAATAAAATTAATTTCAAATAGTTTCTTCATTCAGCTGAGATTTATTAATTAAAAACTCTTGATTTGATTTTCATAAAAGTTTAATTTAGGAAAATCTTTTTTTAAATGAAAATAATTTTTATTTCAATATTTGAAATAAAATCGATTAAAAACTTTTTTTTATTAGTAAATTAAAAGAATTCTTTTATTTGAAAACTCTAAAGTAAAGAGTTAAATATAACTTAAGTTTACTCAAAAATTTATAAACAAGATAATCTTTTCATTGAAATACTAAAAGAGATCTTTAAATGAAAAAAATCTAAAAATTTTGTTTATTGTGAGAAATTTGTTTAGAATTGAATTTCCTATTAGAACAAATCTTTTATAAAAAGCAAAAAGTAATGGTTTTATAAAAAATCGTTAGCTGATTAACCTGTTCAAATAATATTTCGAATTAATTTTATTCTTATTTTTGCAAATACTTTAGAATCATTAAGAATAAATTATTTCATATAGAATTTTAATAAACTCAAAATAAAAGTATTGAAGAGAATATTTGAAATGTGATTTGATCGAAAGAAAATAGAATTTTTATTGAATTTTGATAGTTTTTAGAATTTAAAAAAGTGAAAAATATTCATTTTTGATCAAATAGAAAAATTTTATTTTCCAGGGAAGAGATTTTATGAAAATCGATTTAATTTTCATTTAGAAAGTTTTAACGATTTGAGAAGAAAATGAAACTAATTTTAATTTCAAACAAAAATAAACGAAATTATTGATTCACATTTTGTCAGTTTTTTATTTTTATTTGAAAGAAATAAATTTTTAATAAATTAAATGCTTGCTAAAATTAATTATTTACCAAATTTGTTTTAAAATAAAAACTTAAACTAAAAAATAAATTGAAAATATTTAATAAAATTATTCTTACTAACATAGATAAATAGTTGGAATAAATTCTATAGATGACATGATGATATTATGCATAAAATAAATTTTGTTTTATTTTTAATAAATAATTAATTAATTAGAATAAAATGAAAAATTCGAAAACTTTGTTTTATGACCCAAAAACAAAATAAATCAATATAAGATTTAGACTTTATTGAAGATTTTACATAAAAATCATTTTTATGATTTTATAAAATATAAGAATAATATTTTAATTTTTAATAAATATATTCAATTTTTACTATAATTATAATTTCTTTCTTCAAAATTGTTCGAACAGATTAATTTGATTAACAATTCTATAAATGTTTGTTTTAATTAGAAAAGCAAACTCTCGACGTTAAATTTTGTTCTTATCCATATAAATTAATTTATAAAAAATATTTTAAATGAAAAATGTTGTGCTAATTTTCAAAAGAATTTTTATGTTAAATATTTATATAGTAATATTCTCAATATCTCATTGTAAAAAATAATTGAAAAATGATGGATGAGATCTCTTTTCAATGTTATATTAAGTGAGATAAAAGTAGAAAAGAACTAAATTATTAATAATTTTATGAATGTTATTTCAAGAGAAATTGTTATTTCTTATGTAAAGAATAAACTATTTGACAAATTAATTTAAATTTTTAACGAATTAGTAAAAATAATTTATGAAAAAGTTCTACCTCAATTTGAAAGACGATGAAACTATTTTTTGGACAAAATTACTATTCATTTTTATTTAATAAAATATACTTAGTTTTATTTGAGATTGAGTTGATATTTGATTTGTTGTTATTTGATTCTTTGACATGGTTGCTGTACTAATTGTAGAATAATTTGATTGATAAGAATCTTAATAAAAAGAAAATACAACGATTTTATTTGACAAGAATAGAAAAATAAATAGTTTATTTTAATTTAATTTATATAAAATCATTCGAAAATACAAAACAACATTAATACAATATTTTTGTTCTGAAAAAAAGAAACAAAGACTTATTTAGACTATTAGAACTATTGTTTAAGTGTTTAAATAACTTAAAATAGGAACAAGGCAAAGTTATATTTTCTCATTTAAAGTTTTCCCAATAATGAAACAACTTGAGAGAATTCGTTCATATTTTATCTTTTGAATGTAAATTCCAAAGTTTCCTTTACAAAATATGTATTTTCTTTAGAGAAAATATTTTTCTACCTACAAAATACGAAATGATATTCATTTATGGAAGAAAATGTATTTGATTTTCAAAAACAAAATTCTTTCAATGAGGGGGTAAGTGTGGGTATGGGTATTATATCCATCACACACCGAGTCCTGCCATTTCAATTAAAATATCTTTATCTATATATATATAACACAATAAAGCGATATTCTTACATTTAACACTGTCTACTACACAGGTTAACTTTTTTTATAATTAATAATTTTCAAGAGTTGCTTTTATATTGGAATAGTTTGATAGATCTCAGTATATCCTCAAAATACAGATACAAATTATTTAGATATGAAGTATTTTTAGACTTGTCTCAATCCTATATTTATTCATTTTCAACATCTGAAACTTTTCTTCCTAAATTTCCAATTAATCAAATAGCTTAATGATACATCATTAATCTCGTTAATAAAATTAATTTGTAATACAGAAACATCAAGAAAAAATACTTCGCTTCAACTTGGTCTTTTCTTATGTCGACATGAAATAATTGAATAAACATACCGAATGATGAAACAACTGAAATTTTCTTGATAAATTCTTGTGAATCTTGTCGAATAGAAATATCTGATGGTTGAAGAAATTCTTCTGAAATTTGTGTTAACTTTAATTGAAAATGATTTAAATCAATTTCATTAAATTCATTTTCTTCACGAATTTCTTTTAATTTCTTAGATAATTCAATAAACTTTTTTTCCACATCATTAATCGATTTTTGTGTTAGTTTCATCACTGTTTCTCGACATTGTTGTGCCGTTTGTTGAATTTGATGCATTGAATTTTTTTCCCATTGATTAATTTGTTGAATTAAAGAAGAATTTAGTGGATTTTGTTTTTGTTGAATAATTGTGTGTTGAAATTGATCATGATCATTAATAATTTCATCTAATTGTCTTTGAAGAATCTGGCGATGTTCTGTTAAATGTTGGAAACAAAAATCTTTTGAACAACCACGACAAATATATGTTGTATTTCCTTTATTACAGATAGAACATTGTACTCTAATGTTTGCTGTTGCCATTTGTTGAAGAATTTGAAAAAGAAATAAATAGTTGTTCTCATTCTGTGTGTGGATTTATTTGTACAAAACAAAATGAGTCAAAGTCAATAAAGATCAGTAGGTGGTGAAAGAACGACGAAAACGTTTTTTCGATAGATAAGAGATCTTCATCATGAAAGTAATTTAATATTCATTGACATAGAATGTAAACTAAGTCTCTTTGAAGAAGATAAATTATGAGAATTTTATTGATCTTTTGTCTTTCATATGTGTTGAGATAAAAATAATATTGTAATTTGCATTGAATAATAAAAAAAACGAATTTTCTTTATAAAATTTTCAATAGATGTCATGAATCTATTCAATTCTCTTTACTTCGCTGACCAATTTCATACTCTTAGACATGATGATCAAGGTTTTTCTTGAACTTCTCACAAGAATGTTGATTAAGTGTGTTTAAATAAATAATCGATCTAAAAATTAATCGACTTGAATTTGAAGAAATTAAAATGAAAAGAAAAATCATTTCGAAATGTCGACTTCCTTACTATTAATCGTTTTATTCGAATGAATAAACTAAATGAAATCAGAAAAATATCTTTTTTTATAAAAAGAAAAATCAGTTTGATGTCATTTAAAAATTTCCTTTCCTCGACTTATAATTATTTATTTTTCTCTTTTAAAACTAAAGATGAATGTTAATACCGTTACCAATATTTCGAAATCTACGTCACCATAGAAATTATTTATTTAGAATCATCTAAAAAAACAAAGAACCACATATAATTGAAATAGTTGTGTTGTTATTCTGCCATTTTCTACAATATTTTCGGGAGCATTTCAAGAATTAGAGTGTGGTCGTAAGTATTTGTATGAGTATCAGTTTTTAGGAGTTAATAATATTTGTTATTAAGCAAATGATTTCGAGTTCATCTACAAGTATGTGAATTTTTTATCTAACCTTTTTGCGTCTTTCTTGTTAAAGAAAAAAGATCTGAATGATGCGGATTTGATTTCGATTGTTTCGTATAATTCTTATGTTAGATGACAGAATCGACTGTTGAATCCTATTGAAATCTGACAGCAAGACTTTGACCGAAGACATCTTTCTTCTATTTTCAAAAAATACTATCTCCTTCTCTGACATCTTCGCGTTGCTCCTGAAGAATTTGAGAAAAATATGTTGTGACCTGAAAAGAACCAATATAACAATAGAATTATGCAGAAACATTGTCGAAACCGAATAAGGAAATCGCATACTAGTATTAAAGTCTAAAAGTAGTAAGCTGAATATGAGTAGAAAAACGTAATGAGAATTTCGAGTATAATTGTTAAACTCATCTAATTGAGCATTCTCTATATGATTTAATCTTCACTTATATTTTTATAATTGACTGTATGAGTACCCTGATACTCCAACAAATTGAATGCTGAATTTTATTCTATATCTGTAAGACTCGACAATTCATTACAATTCTTTTGAAATCCTAATGTCATTGTCTCTCTGTCATATTTAAATATAGTTTCACGAGATGTATGTTGAAATCCGATCGTCAGATCCATAAATGAATATGAGTGTGGGTGTGAGTGTATGATTAATACAATATCCACACCCACACCCTGCTTTAAAATTCATCTCTTGAGGATGTGGACAAAATTTATGATCTTTTCATCTAAAAAAAGAAATGAATGAATTCTTATCGCTTTCAATCATCTTCATGTATGAAAAATCATTTTTTTTGTAATTCAAAATATTTAAATATATGAATATAATTTCGATGAATAAATTTAGTTATAATATTAAACTTTTAAACCGTTTATTAAGATTGAAGAATACATGAAAAAAATGAAATTGATTAACTTTATGACATAAACATCATTTTTTATCTTAAAATTCGAGCAAATACAAAAAAAATAATAAAGATTTTCACCACCATAAATATAAATCACAATAGACAATTTTAATTAAATAATGATCATGTAAATGGTTTAATTTCATGAGTCGATTTAAATGTGGAATAGATTTTTTCCGTAATTGACCAATACGTAAGAAGAATAGTGGATGTGTTTGAGGAAAAGGTTTTGGTGATAAATATGGAATAAATGTTTCAATTTGTTGTTTACCCATTCCAACATGAAGATATTGCAATTGAGGAAATAAATAAAGAATAAATTGAAATTGTTCTATTGTACATCCTTCGGGAAGAATTTCTAATCGTTTAACATTATTTTGAATCGACAAATGTTGAAAATTTTCCTTATTTGTAATTAATTTCGAATCAATTCCAATAAAAAATGATAAATAATATTTAATTTGATATAAATTAGGTAAAACACATAATAATTGTAAGAATTGTTCGAAAGGAAAAATACAATGAGCAATTGTTATTTTAGTTATTTGTTGTAATGGAAGAATTGTATTAAGAATTGTAGAAATTGAAATAAGAGATCCATTTTCAAAACTATTAATAGTTAATTCATTAGCATTTGAAAAATAATTTGAACAATTTTTTGATACTTGTTTAACATCAATAAAAACATGTTTAACTGAATAAAAATTATTTTCATTGATATCTAAACAAGTTTGTTCATTGTTTTGCCAATCTAATGTATAACATTTTCTTCTAAATAACGAAAAAAAAAGATTAAATTTCGAATTAAAATTATTTATTTTTACCGATAAGGATTTATTGAATAAAATATTCCATTTTGAGAATTATCTTTTGAAATATGTGCATGAGTAAAATACCATTGTTTATTGATCCAAAATGACGAATTAAATTGATTAATTAAATCATGATATTTATCAGCTACACCAGTATGATTTATATTAAAAATACGTAAATTTGGCATAAACGATATAATTAATCTTTCCCATCGTTTTGCATTTAAAAATTGTGGATCATCACATGTTGTTATATGTAAAACTTCAATATAATAAAAATAATTTTTAATAATTTCTTCTAATCGATCAAAATTCATTGAATAAAGATTAAGTGAAATATTTGTAAACGATTTTAACCGAAGATGAGAGAAATTCATTTGTGTATGATGCAGATCATGAATTTTATGAATTGATAAACGACGAAGTTGAGGAAGAAATGATAATAGATTTTCAAAAGATTCCATTGGAAATAAAGGTTCATAAATAAAATGTTCAATTGGACTAACAATATTTGTTGTTGTTGATGATACATCTAAATGAGCCATTATTTGAAAACAAAGTTTACAATATTTTAATTTAGGTAAACGAAATATTTGAAGATAAAGTTCATTTGAATTTTTAATAAAATCAATTACATGAATTGTTAACGAAGATAATTGTGGTAAATTAATTATATGTTTAAGAACATTTTTTAAATATGCTGAATCAATTTTATTGAGATTTAATGATTCAAGTTGAATAAATTTCGAAATGATTTTTGGTGGTGAAAATATAATAGCAGTAGTAAATGGATTTGACAAACGAAGAGTAGAAATTCGTTGTCTATTAGGTATAATGATCTTCTGATGATAATTATCGAATTTTGTTTTTGACATTGTTGAGATATTAATTCGAAGATAAGGATTTAAATGATTATATAAATTATCAAATCGTTTTGTAAGATTAAAAAATCCATAATAAATATCATAAATGTCAAGATAATTAAATATTTCATAGATTATTTCATTTGGTAAATTTTCGAAAAGTGATATAAAATTTTTACTAGCTGTTGTTGCTAAAAGACAAAGATAAAAAAGATTTATTATGTATAAACAAAAAAGAACTTACATTCAACTTTTCGTTTTTTATTTTCTTGACTTATTTCATTGTATTTTCGTTTACTTCTTAGATTCATGTTTATAAGAAAATGATATTAATAAAAGAGAAAAATACACATGTCGTAGAACATTATCTAGAATAAATAACAAAAAAAAAATAGTTCACTTCTTATACATTATATACTAAAAAAAAGAGACAAAATGTGTTGTATACTTTATTATCATTAATATCAATAACGATTAAGTAATTAGCATTTTTTTTGTGAGTAAATTTTATTAGTTTTGTAGCCTGTTTAGAAGTCGAATATCAAACCGTCCTAGGTATGGGTGTTGATGAAAAACTGTCGCACTCGTTCTTTCATCTGTCAAATATGTACTATAAAATTTCCCCAACCGACAGCGGATACTTCCGCTAGTTAGTATTATTTTTCCTCTTCTTATTTAAAATTATTAATAAAAATAAACTTTTGATAATTTAAATGACAGGAACTATCGAGAAAATAGTGTTCGAAAAGAATATTCATTTTCAAAATTACAGAATTGAATCAATTGATCAATAACAATTCAGCAAATAAAAGTTTTCAGACATGATGTTGCGAGCTGCAATTCTCATATAGAATCTATTGAGATAAATCTTTATTTCAATTTTATTAAAGTAAAAGTTAAATAACCTTTATTGTAAATGTTTTTAACTGGATCAACATCTTCAATAATTAAATGAACTAATTTTGAATAATAAATTGTATCAAAAATAATTTTTATCTCTAAAATCCATTTTCGTTGAATCAAATTTATTTAGAATTCCATTATCATGATAAATATCGAATGTAAAATAAATTTTTTCTAATTGTGGTAAATATTTCAAAATAAAACTTTCCCATTCATAAGCAAAATCTAATGATAAAACTTCTAAATTTTCATTGTTTAATATTTCAAGATTATTCAGTATTATTGGATCTGAATCAATATGTAAATGAGTTATATTTGATTGAATTCTTTCAATATCATTATCATCATCATTTGAATTACAAAATGAGAAATAACGAAGTTTTGATAAGTAAAGTATTCTTGTTGAAAGTACATTGATAGTACAAGTATGAGTAAAATATAAATATTCAATATTACTTAATTGTTTATCATTAATTATTGATTCGACATGGTATTACCAGACGAAATGATAGGAATGGAAAAAAAATAACATTCTTATTGGTCAATAAAGAATCAAATAAGGTTTGAGGATTGCGTCAATAAATACCGACGCAAGTTGTATCCGTATTCACGTACCAATGTTTCAGTAGAGCAAAAGTGTTAAAATCTAAGAGCTTTTAATATTCAAAATTTTTAAGAGAAAATCAAATGACTTAAATTCCAAAGAAAATAAAAGTTCATCATGTTATAAGGATACTTTATTTCATAAAAAAGTGTCTTCTTAGAGTCGTTTATATTCATTGGTATTCGCTAATATGACATTTGCATTTGGTTTATAAATAGCAGTAAATACAACTATAATTGCTAAAAATATGTTGCTACGAATTGGTATAGAAAAAAGGAATCGTTGTTAAAACACTTGCAAATAGAAGTTCAAATGCACTAGTAAACGCTTTCAGTATTAAATTCATTCATTTAAGAAAGAGTGATGTAACAAGACCAATAGCTACATTATTAAGTATTATAAATGGAACAAATAGTTCTCGTTCGAAGATAATAGATTTGAACGTATTGAATAGTTTGCCAGCAGCTGCTACAGATTGTTGTTGTCGATCGAAAAATAATAAAAGGATAATGTTACAGATGATTGAATTCGTATACATGAATGTATTTTATACCATAACATCGACTTGTGCACTCCTAGAATTTTTTAGCAAATATTCAGTGTAAAGGGTGGGTGTGACTATTACAGTGACTACTCACATCCACATCCACAGATGAAGCAGCATTCATAGCCACACCCTCAAGATTAAACCACTGAAATTTCGAATTTATTTTTTCTCTTCAATTTTGATTTTTTAATAGAATAAAACAAATTTGATGTTTTATTGGTTTTTATTTTAATGAATTATTTTATTTTATATTTAATATTTTAATGTAAAAAAATTGTTTTTGTTGAAAAAAATAGACTTTCTCAATCTAGTTTTTCGATTTTGACAGATTTTATTCTTATTCATTTATCTTTTTTCTTTTCTCTTCCCTTTCTCTCAATAAATCATAAAATCATAAAATCACAAAAATAAATCTAATCAAATTTCTATTTACAAGTTTTTTTTCTTAATTTAAATGTTTTTCTTAATTTGAAAAATATTTTATTTGATTTTTCTATTAAAATTAAATTTTTTCTAATTCAATTTTATTTCAAATTCTTTTAGTTTGAATCATTCAGCGAATATTCTATTTAAATTATTTTATTCATTTTGATTTTTTACTTTAGAATTAAAATTAACAAATATTTATTTCTTCAAGATTTTTCATAAATTAATTTTTTTTTATTTATTTTCAAAAATAAAAAAACAAAATTTTATCAAATAAAATTAAAATAGTTTTAATTCGAAAGTTTTTCATATTTTTGGATTCGATGATTGTTTTTATCAACAACATAAAGATTTTCTTCATTATCAAATGATAAACCACGGGGACCATTCAGCTGATCTGATTGATTTCCTTCACCATTCCCACCAACAACAACTTCACCTTCTTCTTTTCCTTCACACCAACGCATTACCCGATGATTCCCATATTCTGCCACATAGAGTTGACCCAAATCATCAACAATTACTCCTTCAGGTTCAGACAGTTGATTAAGATTCCCTCCTTTACCATTTCCTCCAGCCACAATTCTTCCTTCTTTTGCATCTTTTCTCCATTGTATCACACGATGATTGTCTCTATCTGATACATAAACAGACTGATCTTCATCAACAAAGATAAAACCTGGACGACTGAGTCGATTGAGTTTATTTCCTTCTTCATTTCCACCTGCCACTACAATTCCTTCGTTGTTATATTCTCCCATCTTCCATCGTCTCACTTCATTCTTCTTCCAATCAGAAACATAAAGAAATCCATGTTTATCTATTGCCAAACGAGAACAGTCAATATTGTCAATGAGAATTTGTTGCTTTTTATTCAACCATTGAATCACTCGTCTGTTATCACTATCAGCAATGATGATCGAATGATCTTGTTGATCAACAATCATATTTGTTGGTCGATTCAATTGATCCTTTCGATTTCCTTGTCCATTTCCACCTGCAATAATTTGTCCTTCCTTTGTATTACATTTCCATTCAACAATACGATGACTTCCATAATCAGTAATGAAAATGCTTTTCTTTTCATCAATAAAGAGTCCAAGAGGGTGATAGAGTTGATTTAATTTTTGTCCTTTTCCATTTTCACCAGCCACAGTGATGGCATTTTGTTTCCATTTCTTGAATTTTGATTCTAGAAAATGATGAAAACAAAACATTTTAGTAAAAAGAAGAAAACTTGTTTTTGATCGAAGAAAAAAGCAAAGATTTATTTTGAATAAAATTTCTTAAAATGAAATGAAGAAATATTTTGTTTTAAAAAGAAAAAAGAGTTCGAGATTTATATTTTGTCGAATGAAAATTCTGAGAAAAAAAGAATTTTATATTGAAAAATAATTTATCTGTGAAACAAACTGTCAAAGTCTGATTGGAAAAGAAGAGAAATTGGAAATTAGAAAAGATTTGGTTGACTATTTTTTCACTAAATAAAAATTTGACAGAAAAACGAGTTATTTCGAAATTTATCAATAAAAGTATATCTTACTGAAATTCTTTTCCAAGAGAAAATTCGTTTTTTTATATAAAATGATATTTTCTTTTTTTTTGTAGAATGAATTTGTCTGATTTGCTTTTTTTTCAATTTAATAAAAATTAATTTCATTTTATTTCTTTCGACCGAGATTTTTCTTTTTTTTTCTATCACAGTTCTTATTTTATTTCCTTTCTCTTTTTATTCTTCAATTTGTTTCAATTGAAATAATTTTATTTAATTATTAAATAATTTATTCAACAGAAATTAACAGAGAATATTGCTCAATCTCATTTAGAGAGTGTTGACATCATTTTCTTTCTTGATCATCATCATCATCACAATTTATGATTGTCCCTACAAGAAAGAATTATGAAAAACTTATCTATGGTATTCATATGATCTATTACAAAGAACCTAAGCCTATTGATAATGTACAATGTACATGAATTATTTTCAGCTGAAATCATTCCGTATAATTTCTTCCTCGTTATAATAAAAGAGTTAATATTTTCTACTGTATTATACTAAACAAGCTCCTTCAGAAGTTTTCTATTATGATACTAATGTTTATATAAGCCTATAAAAGATTATCTGAAAAACTCTTCTGATCTGTAAAGAATTCTCTAGACTTTCCTTAATTTTCTCTCAAAGTTTCAAATGTTTGTTTAATAAAAAATATTTTAAAACTGAAGAATTTTAAGTAAAATCTGTTATTTATTAGTTGAATAATTTGTGAATATTGATTTGAATGTGTGAAGAATCGTTTATTATATTTAGTAAATCATATTTTTAGAAGAATTTTCTAATATGAAAAGATTTTCTGTTTTGAAGTTGATGAATGAAATAAAAATAATAGCAAAGTATGTGAATTAGAAGAGAAGAAAATGAAATGAAAAAAGTTCAGATGATAAATCTATTTGATGAATTTATTATATATATTTATAGAATCATTGAGAATATCAAATAATAAAACTTTAGAATTTTCTTCGAAGAAATTTTTATTATTAATCGAGTTTTCTTAGAACGAATCGTTTTACATATATATCGAATTAAATTTTAAGAGGATTGTGGATGAGGGCGAAGGTGAAATAGAATACCTACACCCACACCACCCACTTTTCAAGACAAATTCTAAGAAGATTTCAGTCGATACAAAAAACATTTTGAAACGAAATGAAAAATGAACAGAATTGTTTTTTGATTTCATCATTTGTCTTTGTAGAAATTAATAAAAGAATTTTATTTAAACAAATAAATTAAGGTTGTGGGTGGTTGAGGATATTTATTCAAACCTTCGTGTGGTATTACAATGATACTTATTGTCTTATTGGACAGTTCTTTTCTAATCTCTAATTACTATTAAATTTACAATACTCTTATCATAAAAAGCTTAATAGTTCTACGAAGAGAAAAATCCATTGATGAGTTCATAGCAATCTCATAAAATCACCTATTGTGTCGTAAAGAGAATTTTTCATGTTGATGATCTCTTTTTGACAATAAATATAATTATCGCAAGAAAATCATCTCATAATAGAAATGAAGATTGGTTTAATATCTTTCAGTTCACCTTCTTACTTGAAAAGTAAGATTACTAGAATAGCTATACTCACACTTTATAGGAATTATACAGATATTCATATACGAATCATTGTAAATAATAAGAGATTATATAAAGATCGATAATTAGTCAGTGAACAAAATAAACAAAAATCCAAGACTAGAGATTTTTAACGATTTTTTTATGAAAAATCTGGATAAAATTTTAATTGATTAGAAATCTTTTACAATTCAAATATCAAATCAAATCGATAGAAAGATTTTACCATAAAGTGAAAATTCAATATTTCTGGCAAATTTTACTGATTTTCATCTAAAGTTTTGGATGAAAAAAGAAAAAAGGTTCATTTTCTGGATTGAGGGAGATTTAAATTTTGAAAGAAAATTTAAAATGAAATGAACTTACTTGAACTGATTTGGTTTGTTTTTGCTGGAAAAAACGTTTGATATATTGCTGATACTAATGACCATCCGGATGTTGATGTATGATTATTATCATTATTTTTTTCATCAATTTCAATTAAATGAACAAGATATGATCCATTTGGATGATCTAATGCGTTACTTTTTACACGAAATTCGGTTCCCATTCTTAAAATGATTTCATCTTCACTTTCATGTTCTGTATAACCAGATACTTTTTTACCATTCAATGCTTCAATTAAAAACGTCGTAGAATTTTTCTCATTTCCAAGAAATCCTTTGATAACATTAACTTTTGATGAACATGAATTGATACTCCACCATGTTATTTTGCCATTTTCATGAAAATTTTTGCCAATATCTGCAGTAATACCTCTCCATACAACTTCTTTTGCAGTTGGTAATTTATTTAGTGCTGTATCAAATAGTTTTAAATAAGGAAACCATACTTTTAATAAATGTCTATTTTCATTTCTTAAAGCTTTATTTAAAACCCGATATAAAGTTTGTTCACCCCATTCCATTGTATAAATATAAACTGATGCTGATTCATCATGTGTTAAACCATGTTCTGATGGATAATGACAATGTTTTTTTGCTGTTTCAATATAGTATGGTAATTCATCAATTTGAGATTGAATTGATTCTAATGCTTTTTCAATTGTAACAAGTTTTTGACTGCGATAACCGTAAACAGGTGTTAATTTTTCAAATGAGCAATCAATATCACTAAAACGATTCATTACACTACTGTAATCTTTATATTTATATAAAAGAATTAAATGTGTGTTGAATGAAATCTAAAATAACTGATGAAAATTTTAGAAGTATGTAGATGGGTGGTGATTTAGAGAGGGTGTGAGTGACTGGAAGAGGATAAATATGAGTTTTTTCTATACGTAAATCCAATTCTAGAGATTGCAAGTCATCTTAACTTGAACAAGCTAGTCAATCTAACCAAAGCAAAGTGAATAAAAGTTAAATATCTTGGGGGATATAGGTTTGAATGTGGGCGATGACATGAACGAAAGAGAAATCTAACACCTTCAGCCACACCCACATCTTTGGGTTGTTTTACATTTACTTCAAAATGCACGAAGTGTGTTAGATAAGTTACTTGTTGTTTTGTGTTCGAAAACAACAATCCTATAATAATCTTGAGTTAAAACTAGAGAAGAGATGACTGTGTTTGGTGTTGTTGTTGTTGTAATATTAACAGTAGCAGAAGTGCTGTTATCATGAGCTTCTTCTGTTAGAATTTCCGACCAGAGAAATTTATATAAGAGAATAATTGTTACCTTTATCCTACTCACTTCACTTTGTCTCCAAATTGAATAATATATTTACTAGTCTCTTTTTGTTATAGAGACATAAAAGACAAGTCATAAAGCAGATAACGATATTGATTGCAAATGAAGAAAAAGAAAGTAGAAGTATGTTATCAGAGGTAAAATAGAAATGAAAGTAACCAAGAAAAAAAACTTCGTTTTATGATGATGTTTATTACAAATGGTTAGAAAAACTCGAAGAATAGGTGGATGTGGATGTGGGTATAAGTAGTAGTCTAATGCACAACCACGCCCACGCACGCTTTAGTTCATAAATTGAATTATCAATGATAATATCAAGTTCCAATGTTTTACTAATAGAAACATTAATCGAAATCTGCCAATGAACTGATTCACATTTATTTTTATACTCATAATTTGTTCATCTTCAAAATTCTAGAAGGAATATGTGTTGTTTTGCAATGAGTTGACAATTATTGAGCAAAGAAAAGAAATTCAATCAATAAAACAAAAAAACTAATTCATGTTTTATGTATTTCTTTGCTTGTTAAACTCACTAACTGATTATATTAAAGAACTTGACTCAAAAATACTATTACTTTTGAGAATAAGATAAAATAATTAATTGTAAAAAAGAAATAAAATATTTAGAAAAAAACTTTTATTTTATTTTTTAATTATTTCTAAATTTTTGTGTTAATAAAAAAAGATTTATTTAAAGAAACGAAAAATTGTTCATTAAACAATTGAAATTTTGAATTTATTTATTCTCTTCAATTTTTATTTTTTAATAAAACAACACAAATTTGATCTTTTGTTTATTTTTATTTTAATGAATTATTTTATTTTATTTTTAATATTTTAATGTAAAAAAATTGTTTTTGTTGAAAAAAAATAGACTTTCTCAATCTAGTTTTTCGATTTTGACAGATTTCATTCTTATTCATTTATCTCTTTTCCTTTCTCTCTTCCTTTTGTCTCAATAAATCATAAAATCATAAAAATAAATCTAATAAAAAATAATTTGTTATTATTTAAGTTTTTTTTACTTACTTCAATCTTTTTCTCAATTTGAAAAATATTTTATTTGATTTTTCTATTTAAATTAAATTTTTTCTAATTCAGTTTTATTTCAAATTCTTTTAGTTTGGTTCATTCAGCGAAAATTCTATTTGAATTATTTTATTCATTTTGGTTTTTTTACTTCAGAATTAAAAAATATTTCTTTTTTCAAGATTTTTCATAAATTAATTTTTTTTTATTTATTTTTAAAAATAAAAAACAAAATTTTATCAAATAAAATTAAAATAGTTTTAATTCGAAAGTTTTTCATATTTTTGGATTCGATGATTGTTTTTATCAACAACATAAAGATTTTCTTCATCATCAAATGATAAACGTGTGGGTTGATTCAAATGATATGGCTGATTTCTTCTTCCGTTTCGGCCAACAACAATTTCACCTTCTTTATCTCCTTCACACCAACGCATTACTCGATGATTATTACAATCTGCGACATAGATTTGATCCAAATCATCAACAATGACCCCTTGAGGATAATGCAATTGATTGAGATTTCTTCCTTTACCATTTCCTCCAGCCACAATTCTTCCTTCTTTTGCATCTTTTCTCTATTTCATCACACGATGATTGCCAGTATCTGATACATAAACAGATTGATCTTCATCAACAAAGATAAAAGTAGGATCATTGAGTTGATTGAGTTTATTTCCTTTACCATTTCCACCTGCAACTAATTCACCTTTTGTATCTCCTTGTTTCCATCGTCTTACTTCATTATTCTCCAAATCAGAAGCATAAATAAATCCATTTTTATCGATTGTCAGACGAGAGCAATAAATATTTGAGATCATAATTTGTTGATTTGTTTGATTTTTATCAAAATATCGAATTACACGTTTGTTCTCCTTATCAGAAATAATAAAAGAATTAGTTTTTTTATCAAAAACTATATTGGTTGGAAAAGTCAATTGATTATTTTCATCTCCACCTGCAATAATTTTATCAGTATTTAAACTTAAGTTTCTTTTAATAATACGATGATTTCCAGAATCAGCAATATAAATTAATCTTTTAGTATCAATAAAAATTCCCTCAGGACTATTGAGTTGATTTAATTGTTGTCCATCCCCTTTTCCTCCAGCAACAGTAATTGCATATTGATTATAATGATTGATTCTCATTTGAATTTGTCCTAAAATAGAAGATCTTCTTTTTATTCAAATCCTTTTCATTATTTTTAAATCAAAGAAAGGGCGAAAATAAGAAGAAAAACTTCTTTTTTTATTACTAAATTATAATTTTTTATTTGAAAGTTTTAAACTAAAGAGTTGGGTATGCGTGATGATAAATACTCTTTGGACTACACTCACACCCGTTAGAATATTCGTGAGGACTTCCTTGAAGATTCGTCAGGGGATAGTTGATCAAGGACAGCAAGATCTAAAAATCTGATTAGTACAGTTTTAAAATAGACTGCTCAAGCTCCGTCTAATATTACTATTCCTTCAGAAAGAAAACACATCAACAATAATTGTATAACATATGCACACTAATGTCTATATCTTACTTCAACGATTGTGATGCTTTATAGAAAAAACTACTTCATAATTATCTGCAAAAATTTTAGTAAATGAAAATTTACTCCGTCAAAAACGAACTAGCATTATAACTTTATAACTCGTAAGTAGTTTTCTACCAAAATGTTCTGTATTTAATATTTCAACTGATAGAATAAGTTTTTCTCTTACCCGATGTTGATTGAATTTGCACAGATTGATTTGTAACTGGTTGTAAAAGAGTAAATGGAGGCATTGTTTCTTTTAATTGAATTATATGAAGACCTTGTGCTTGTTCAAAACAACCTACTACCATAAATTGTCGAGCAGGCAGAAGAAGAACTTCTTTTTTCGATTTATAATACGAGTGACGACTGATATCTTTGCCACTGTCACATTCGATAGTAAATACTGTTCTTTGACCAGTTTTGCCTAAAATTTGTTCTTTTTCGAGTACTTCTATTGATGTTGTACATGAAGAAAATCCCCACCAGACAAATGTTTTTCTTACACTATATTGATTCGCTAGATCTAAATTCATTCCACGAACGACATTGGACGGTGTGGATGGTAATTTTTCGAGTGCTGTAAGAAGAAGTTTCAGATACGAAAACCATGGCTTTAATTTTTGTCTGTCTTCAGTGCGAAGAGTTGCATTAAGGGCAAAAGATAAACACTCTTCATGTGGTTCCCATTCCATTGAGTAAAGCATGATTGAAGCTGATTCATCTTGTGTTAAATCATCGGGAGGTACGGACTCACATCGTTTTTTTGCAATATCAGCGTAATGTTGAATTTTAGGTATAATCGAAAGAAGTGGTACAACAGCTTCTCTTAATGGTACTATTGGCATTTCTTCGTATCCTTCAATTGGCACGTGCATCACTAGTGGTTCTTTAATAATATCCGATATTCGTGCGTACTGTTGTGAGTCAGCATTTTCACCTGTAGCCATGTATATATAAAAGAATATCTTCCAATAGCAAGTACAATAAATATTCTACAAATAAAATAAAAATTTATTTTTAAAAATTGGCATCATAACTGAATTTCAATAAAACCTATTCATTTTGTCAGACTCTCTGATTAGAATCGTGTGTATTAATTAGTCGAGTGCGTTTTTTTGTAATATTCTTATTAATTATAATAATAAGACACAAATAATAAGACTATGAATCATTTTATTTTATTCAACTAGTATGTGTGTGTTTTATCCAAACATTCGAACGCAGATGACTCATCTTTCTCTTCCTTGCATTTAAATGTTTGAATAAAGCACATGTATACTAGTATATATATATAATACCTAACTTTTTCTTTCACTTATACGTATTTGATAATGTTCTTAAGTAGAAGGATATGTCACACATATTGTTTTTAAATAAAATAAAAGGATTGGTAGTCTTATTACTTATCGTTATTTAAATGGATACTATCAAATGTTGTTCATATTATTAATTATAAATCTCAACAACGTGATTCATAGAGAATACATTCTTACACTATCGTATATTGTTAATAAAACTAGGGTGTGTGTGACTAGAGTATGGGGTGTAGATGTCGGCATTGACTCATTCCATACACCAATATTCTCGAATAAATGACAGAAATAATTTTAAAAAGTTATATCATACAGAAATAACTGATTCTAATAAACACAATAAATAAATGTGTGAAGAGAGAAAAAAAGCTACGATATGAAGATTTAATGACAATATGAAATAATCTATCAAACATCATTTGATTATTCCTGATAATATGATAGTTCTACTAAATAAATATTAGATCAATCGATTCTTTTTTTACTTTGATTTTGTTTATATTAACTTGTTTCCTAAAGATAGTTTCGAATCGAATCGTTTTTGATCTCTAATTTGATATGAAAAAACAAATCGAATAGAATCGACATAATGCATTCGATTTGTTCTCTCTTATAATTAGAATAGATATGAAAATGAACATCCACATTTAGACTATGAATTTGTTATTAAATCACTTAACCTTTTCGGGACGGGATTCCTTTCAACAGAACTGTAATACTTATATTTAGTTAGTCGTTATTTTACTAAACTTCTTTCACTTTCCCTACGTGGTTATTACACAAACAGAGTCCTCTGTATAGTTGACTCGAGCAATAGCAGTTAGAATAAAAAATAGAAAATGGTATGTATCTAGATATTTGAAGCCTTTTCCGAACATTGATCATTATAGAGGCTACCCGTCCCGAAAGGGTTAACTTTAGTTGATTTCAACCGTATGACCCAAGAATCTCTTCATTATATATTTCATAGTTGCAATCATCATTAACAACAAGACACATATTTGAACTGTCGAAAATGATGCAAACTTTCTTACATCTCATAACTACAGCCAATATATCCATATAAAGAATTTTCCAAGATTTGTCCTGGGTATCTTTTTTACACCATAAGAAAATAAAACAATAGTGTTCAATGTCAACTCTTTGACATAAGGCGAATTCACTTCAGATTTCTGCTTACAATTAAAATTTCGGGAGTTCTACTTGTATTGTGAAAGTATATAATATAAAGGAATACAAGTTGCGAAGTTTCGTATTGAATAGCAAGATTTTTGTTGAATATCTTAATAAGCTTATGTTTAAACAGACTGAATATTAATTTCAGAAGATTCTTCAGATAAATTTTATTTATTAATGAGATGCGAAGCAAAGCATTTAAGTAGTCCTTCGGAACTTTTCTTGCGTTCTATCTTTCTCACTTTCTCGACGTACGCATTCAAAGTTGTCATTTTGCATTACGATTATCTCAGCAACGAAATATCGGAAAATGCCCATTTAAACGCAAAATCGAACTGATACCATTCGTTTACAGGAAGCACCACAAAAACACAATTATGACTTTTTCAAATTTCAAGTTAATTAAAATGAAGAGCAGAAGCAAAAGTTAGACGTTACTTTTCTCTAACAACTGTTTTATAGTTGAAACTGCAGTTGATAATATGAGTAGTGACACCAGATATACATATAATAAGCCAACTACTTCTATATTTTGAAGATCTGAATAATTAGAAAATATGTGATACACCCACACCCTAATCCTAGAACTTCAGATGTATCCAAATAGATAAATTATATAAACGGTTCGATTTATAAATATATGCCTTTTCAACGAAAGAACAACGTGTGACTGTATACTATGAATTAATTTCATTATCTAACGTTTTGTAACACAAGTTTTATTTTATTTTCTAAAACTAAGTCCTGATTTATTTTAACAATTGATTCAAAAACAAGTTACTGTCTATATAAAGAGATTGTCATCTCTCTTCTTCTTTGTGAGGGAGATATCTTCTTAACATCTGATATTAATATAGCAAAACGTTATGCTTCCACTTTTAACTATAACGGAGACAATATTATATTGTGCTTCAGAATCCAGTCAATCCA